CACACACACACACACACACACACACACACACACAGACACGCAAACCAAAAAACGAACTTCCCCCCTTTTTTTTTCGGAGGCCCCGCGCGACCTCAAATTTCGGTTAATATTTTTTTGTGGTTTATGACGCGACATCCCACTCGGGTCTAAAAAAAAACTCCCCAGCTTTTTTTTTTTTTCCTTGACCCCTTATTTTCGGGGTGCGCCACACCCCGTGCGCGCGCGTCGTGCGCTGTGCGCAGTGCGGCGCGTGTGTGCGGTGCAGCGCACCTCGATGCACCGCAAGTATGGCTAGAAGTATTGCGAAAATTCTTCTCGATGAAGGATTTATAGAAAATTTTCGTGAAGTTGTTATTTGAACTTATTTCTGATAAGAATTATTCTTATTAACTTTAACATTAAAATATCAAGGACGAGCACGTGAACATAACTACTTTTTTGGGGTCCAGAACCCCCAAACACCCCCCAAACCGCCCCCAACACCCTCATTACCCCCCGGGCCCCCCCAAAACCCCCTATACCACCCCTATACCCCCCTATACTCCAACCCCAACCCCCCTATATCCCCCCCCATCCCCAAGAGCTTCTCAGCGTATTTGGGCTGTACTCAGCAAGCGCAGTACAGCCCCCAACTCTGATGTGAAAAAAAATCAGTGGACGGTTTTTTTTTTTTTTTCGACCTAACTGGTCGGCTGCAATACGGTTGGCGGTCAGGGTCGGCAGTCGGCAGGGATGCAACGCTGATTTTTTGTAATTTTGTTTTTGGCCTGGGACCTGGCCCGGACAGCCCGGCTGGTAGCCTAGGCCTTGACCTGTTTAATGGGGACTGGGTGGTAGGGATGGCGTCTTTAACAGTGGCTGTGCGTTATCCAGTTGAGGTATTCGCTAGGGCCTCCTGACGCACAGGATTTATTCATTGAGGTGGTTGTTGATAGGGATGGCAAAGTTAATTACAACCTGAGACCTGGCTTTTTTTTTTTGGGATGGGGGGAGGAGGAAGGAGGGTGGGAGGAGAGGGGGAGAGGGGGAGAGGGGAAGAGGGGGAGAGGGGGAAGTGGAGGGAGAGGGGGTGGCTCTTTGCAGAGGTGGGAGGCCAAAATTTCACCCATCAAGTTGCTAGGAGCAATCAGGCAACTTGGTGTACTGCAGTTGCAGCACATGCAGGAGGGGCTTTTCAACAATGATGATATAATGAGGGTGACTAGCATTGTGGAACAGGTGATTCAAAAAAGGCTGATGACCATAACAAAGGGGGAAAGGGTTTACAACTTTACATCATGGCCAAGAGATAAAATGCCTTGCTGCTTTCAGGCAATGACAAGTCTTCGACGTCGTCACACCGTCTCCCAGATGAGATTCAAAAACATTGGCTTTGAAGTTTGAAATTTAAATTGATCCTACACAGATATTTGTTTTCATCTGGTAGGAGACAAATTGGCCCTAGGTGGGTAGCTAATGCTTTGATGATATGCATAGCAAGTGAGCCAGCTGCTCCTGCTCACAGATCATATCAGGACGTATGTAGGCATGAAGTCTCAGCTCACCTAATCTTAGGCTTTTTCATGCTAGTAATTTTCCATCCTCTTGTGCTCCCCTGTGCAACTCCACAAAACTTCGCATCTGCTTTCCCTGAATCATATCACATCCTGCCCTGTGGGCCCTCCTGGGGTTCTTCTTCTTTCTCTCTCCTGTTCAGTTGTCTCTCTGTCTCTTTCATTCCTCATCTTCCTCCTTGATTCTACTCTCTCCTCCTGGCTGATTCCTTCTTTTACCTTTTTTAAAGGGCGGCAGTGATTCCACTCTTTGCTCTTGTTTATCTGTCTCCCTTGTGCATTCTTCCCATTCTTGCCCGTGTGGCAGTGTGCCCATTTTACCTTTCCAATTGCTCTCCCTTGTCATCCTCATTTGCCAACCCCTTATTATGCGTCTCCTTTGCCCTGCAGGGTTTCTAAGCCTTGCTCCTTGTTGTGGCTTACTTGTTCCCTCCCCATGTTTGTTCAGATTACAATCCAGTACGATCCTGGGAGCATTGTTGTGACTGCAACAATCGTACCTAGCGGTGGAGCGAAAAACTTCGACTCTCGAACCATGTACAATATCCAAGTTGCTGTCACTCAAGGGCTTCTTGTGTTCAGCGATTTTGATTCCTTCGCAATTCTGGAGTTATCAACGCCCCCGCTGGCGACTGCAGGTTCGTTAAGTTTATGGTCAGCTATCCCAGCTTGCCTCGGCTGTGCAAAGCTGAAAAGTGTTGATGTCGCGTCATATATTTTCTTTTGCTTTACTTTTGCCTCCTGCATAAATCTCAGCATGATGAATGTGTTGGTGCATCTCTCCTCAGAGTTGTCGGTCCTTGAAATTAGATATCACACACCACCAAAATTGAGGCCACGCTAGCCTAGGAAGTGTGCCTGGAAAGCACTTGCTCGGCAGCCTAGCATTCAAAGTCATGGCCTTAACAGCATTTGCTCTTCTAACACTAACTGCTGGCCTAGCACAGCAAAGCAGTGCTAGCGGAAGGAAATTGCAAAATGCCAGCATGTACTCTGCAACCGGTTCCTTGGATACTCCCCCAAAGGACAAGATTCACGTCACGGATGCCCATACTGGGCATTGGTGCTAGAGAACAAGATAGTCTTCAAGGACAGCCAGCAGACTTTGTGTTTAGCAAAATCTTCAAGGACAACCAGTGGATTCTGTGCTTGTCACAGTCTTGAAGGACAGACAGCCAATCACGTGCTCCTCACTATTAAGCTGCCCAGAGGTTTCTACATGACTAGCTGCCCATCTGATTGTACTCCAATGAGCACTCTGTCTTCTTGCACTACAACCCTGTTCATCAAAAGTGACACATAATCAAAAATAAAACAAAATAAAAAAAGTGAATGATGCATACCACCGACTGGCCTGGCTCAGTTGGTACCCTCATGATGAACTACAGGCTTGTGTTCAAATATGGAGCTAGATGAACGAAAACTACGAATTACCTGAGGCTAGTCAGTTTGACTAAGGCCATTGCCATTTTAGTAAGGAGAAAGCAAGAGAAAAGAAAGAAAAGAAAGAAAGAAAATGATGCACACCTAACCAATATGGCTCAATGGTCTTGACAAACAGATTATGGGTCCAAAGTTCTCTCCAAACCCTCCAGGAAACAGACGGAGACAAGAACTTACAAGTCGTTACGACTAACCCCCCTTTTTAAGGAAAAGGAAAGGGAAAAGAGGGAAAGAGGTATAAAATTAACATAAATAGAAGAAGAATAAAAAAGTGGCACGCGAGTACTTCGGGCCAAAGGCAACTACAGTGAGCACCGTTGCTGAGCTTCTCGCACAACCTGCTATGGTGTTTTTTTTGTTTTTTCGGCTCTTTGCGTTTCCTGTTTTTCCCAGTGTTCTTCCTGTGGAAGGAAGTCAGTGTTCCCATAGCCTTGGCTACACATAGGGAACTGCAGCCACAGGAAAAGAAAGTGTTTTTTTGGATTGTTTGGACTTGCGGCCACACGTCAGGAGGAAGGCTTGCCCTACGAAAAAGTCAGGAGGAAGGCTTGCCCTACGGAAGTCTCATGAGCACATCGTCGTACATAGCGTCTCATCGACCAATTTGTTGACTCCCCCCACATCCGTGTGGGAGGCGATTAGTTTTGACATCTTTGATAAACAAGTTGACATGATCCTGGGCATGCCTTGGCTTAGCTGTGAGGATCACACAATGAACTTTCCCCATTGGACCCTTGTAGTTTCAGATGAACTAGGGGAGTTAGTACAGTGCACCATTCCTCCATCGCACTCTTCAAGGAGCTGCCACGTTTTTCCCGCTTTGACGTTTTCGGTCCCTTCTGCATGTGAGGACAGCACAGAGATTGGAGTGTTTTCTTCATGCTCCCACGGACTCTTTGTCGATGGACGCATGTGTTGATCCTTGGGTTGTGTAGGTTTAGGGCACGTATGCGGACATTTTTCAGGCACCTTTCGGGGTAGAGGAGGACGGCCCCATCATGCATGAGATCATTCTTCAGGACGGGGCTACTGCGCAGAAAGGGTGCATTTATCAAATGGGTCAGGACGTACTCACAATTCTCGAAGCTCAACTCGGCGACTTGCTTGTGAATGAGTGGATCACCCTTAGAAGCCCGCCATACAACGTAACTCTTCTCTTAGTAGGACCTGTGATTTCACATTCACGACCACATGCTCAATGCTCGGACAGTAAAAAAGGTAGGTCCCTTTCTGCATCCGATGACCTTCTGAAATCATTGGGAGGTACATTGGTGGATCTTAAGTCAGGCTACCATAGTATTCCGATCTGCCTACGAGATTGGTACAAATTTGCATTCAAGCAGTATGACCATTTTGAGTTGGTCGTGATGCCATTCATCCTTACCAATGCCCCAACGACTTTTCAGGCCGTGACGACTCACAAGTTCTGTGCGATATGGGCTCGCTATTTTCGCTCCGATGAGAGTCTGGTTTGCAAACAGACATTGGAGGAGCATTTGGAGCATCTTCGTTGCGTTTCGGAGAGATTTCGCCAGACCAAGTACAAGGCAAATCACGAGAAGTGTGAATTCGTGTGTTAAAAGTTCAAGTACTTCAGCCATTTTGTTACATCTTGGGCATCCATCCGCTTGCGGACAAGATTCAGGACGCTTGGTATTCATCCATTTCTCAGTTTGCTGGGCTAGTACCAACACTTCATCAACAATTACACAGACTGTCGCACCTTTGACATATCTGCACCTCAAGGACCGACCCTTCGAGTTTGACAAGGCTGCACGCACAACTTTTGGGCTCTCGAACAGTTTTGTTTGCAGCCCCTGTTTAGAGCATCTTTGACCTGACCCTGCCTGTAGCGCTAGTGTTGTAGGGCAGAGGAGGACTCACCTTGGTGCCATAGCTTGGGGAATTATGCAGGCCATAACTGAGATGTTGATCTGCTTCCACTGGTCAGTATCTAAGTCCAGACACACACTCCCACACACGCACACACACACACACACACACACACACACACACACACACACACACACACACACACACACACACAGACACAGAGAGAGAGCTGTCTCTTATACACATCTAGATGTGTTCTCGCGCGCGACGCCTATTCGATTTTCACATCAAAGGGTTATGGGATGACTACTGAAAGGGGTAGGAGTGTGTCGTGTTGTTCGTTCCGTGTCGTTCTATATATGTGTTTAAAGTGGTGTACGCGTGGTATGTCGGATGCGTCCTAGTCGACCGAGGACAAGTCGCGCTTGGGGCCTCAGTCCCCCAAGGCGCCGGTTCGCTTGCGGGTCCAATAGAGGCGTAAAACCGTGCGTACCCCCTATGCTACAGCGAACGAGAAACGCCCTCGGCTGGTCCACCTCTGCGATTGCAACCAGTTAGCTTTCATACTGTGGACTGGTAGCTCGACGGGAATACGCCCACCGAAGGGAGGTGACAACTCCCGTAAGGTGGGGGTAAGTCGTGCCTCGCGTAGGCTCTATTCTGTCGTAGGGGCTCGCGAGAGGAATGGCTGGCGCACTCGGCCAGAGCGGCTTGTGAAGCTCCATGTGCATTGCGATGAGGATCAGACCAACTCCTACGTGACGCGGCCGAGAGGGTCCCGCCCCGCTTGTGCGGTGCCGGACCGATGCGCTCGACAATGCTGCGCTGGCATTTTGGCAAATCTTGGCGCGTAGGGGAAATCCGCCACGTACAAAAGAGGCTTAAATGTACTGGTGGTCCGAAGCTGGAAACCGGGTCCAAATGTCCCTTACAGTCATGACGCCCTCCACACTTTCCCTCTTTACGGCTGGAGGACCTCGATACAGTGTCATTGATTGCTCCCCTTTTCAGAGAGGATTAACCCCTGCTCGTACCCTGCTTGCCATCTGCCAAACAGCTCCTCTCAGGCTCGCAGGCTGCCTGAACCTCCTTTCAAACAAGAGCACTACTACCAGTCGAGCCTGTGGCATTGATTCCTTCCCTAGTGGAAGGATTAGCCACTGCCCTTACAATCCTACCCTTGATCACAATTTTGATACTGTATGCCATGAACTTCACGTGTTCACTGTGAAAGTAAAGCCTTACACATTAAATTCTGATCACATCTGTATCCTGAACCCAGACTTACACTTCCGGAATTCGAGATACTTTGATAACGGCTTGGAGTGACCGGCATTGATTGCTTCCGACTGAAAGGATTAACCATCGTCTTACTCTCTTGCTCCGCTTGGTCTTACAGCTACTTCCCTTCTGTGGTCCCTCGTCTACTATGAGCCCAGAGTTACACTGTAGGAATTCGAGATACTTTGGAATGACCCTTCCCCCCCCCGTTCCTCGGCCGCCAATGCAGCCCTTAGTGCCCCCCCCTTCCCATTTAAATTTAAACCTTGTGTGCCATCCGTGTTTGGTTCCCCTATTTTGCCTGTTCCCAGTGTCCTTGTTTGGGGCTTTGTGAATCCCCTCTTGCTTTTGACCCCGTCCGCTATATACTCGGTTTCCAGGGCTTGCATCAGGCCTTCCCATGCCTGTGGAGTCCGTTAGATGATCGGTTTCCAGGGCTTGCATTAGGCCTTTTTTCCCATGCCTGTGGAACCTGCGCTTGTGTTCTATTGATTGATTGTTTTTCTTTTTCTGGCATCCTCTCTTCCATATGGTCCATAGGACCAGTGTTATGGTCCATAGGACCAGTGCTCTTCACCTCTGGAACAGCTTTCATTCCCAGCTTTGCTGGGCTTTTGGTGTTACAAATCCTGTTAATCAACTTAATCTGGGGAGTTCTGCTTCTGGGAGGGACTATCCAGCAATGGCTTCCCATATACCCTGGCAGCGCTCTTTCCCATATTTGTTTTGCCTTGACATATTTGAGTACGCAATGCTGTACGTTCTCAACTTCTGCAGAGCTGCAGATAGTGCATAAGTCGTTGAGGCTTCTGAGTTCACTCTCGCTTCGCTGGTTCGGCCACTGGTTAACTGGGATAGGTAGATAACTAGTTAAGTATTGCAGACTCCATTACTCTCCCATTTCTAATTGATGGTCCAAAAGACATATGGTGAAATTACACAGGAATGAGGAATAGACCCCGGGCCCAAATGCACTCTTCGAATAAATTGGCAACATTTATAGCCTTTACCTAGGCTACAAGAGTGGCCCGGGACCACTAGCCCAGCCGGTCCAAAAAAAAATCAAAAAAATAGGAAGTAA